CTATGTTCATGTCAGTCATTTTTAACTACTTTTTAGAATAATATAAATTTTAAATCAACAAGCCTCTATAATTAAATAAAACTCTTCGGTAATATATTTTCTAATAATGGAAATTTCAATGAACAAGGATAGAGTAAATAATGAGCTCATCTTTTAGGTATAGTAAAAAAATGGATAGGGTAGATAATGATGTCTCTTGTTTTCTCAAATTTTACTTTTCGGAATAATAGAACTTTTAATGAGAGTAAATAATTATCTCTCTCATCCCCATTTTCATAATCAAATATTGTTTTGGAATGCTAATAGAAATTTTCAATAATCAAATATTGTTTTGGAATGATAGAGAGTTTAATGGACAACACCATTGAATGAATAAATAATGATCTCTCTCATATATATATATTTTTTCAATTATCAAATATTGTTTTGGAATAATTGAAATTTTAATGAAGTAGCATAGAGCAAATAATGATGTTTATGAATAACATATATTTATAGTTTAATAATGAATGATAACAATGGAGTAGTTGCCAAGCATAATAATGGCATTGATTAATGCCCCCTATTATAACATTTGACCACATGAATAATAAATATATAATTTTGCTGCAAATGTATCAAAGGGATTCTCTTTTATATATAGTTATTTCCATTATATTTCTTTACTTTTTTTTTTTTGTAGTTTTAGAAAGTGTTCTCTATTGGTTTCAAAGAATGTTTTTTCTATTTGTTTAATATAAAAAATATAGTAAAAACATACTTAGATAATTGTTTTTCGAAAAGTTTTTTTTTTCTATATAATATTTTTCCGCGAGTGAATTGTCTTTTCTTTTAGAAAAATTCTTTAAAAATCACGAATGTTATCCTTCAAGAAAGAAAAAGAAAAAGAAAAAGAAAAATTCATGGATGTGTATAACTTAAATTTGTAAAGTCACCTGGTTCTCTCAAAAACAAAATTTGAAAATTGAAATAGAAACTCATTTCCCGATCACATAATTCAAGATTTTTAAATATTCTCGAAAAAACTGGTCTAAATAAAGTAGTTTTCTTTCTTCTTTCTCCTGTCTTCTCCKTTTTCATTTTCTTTACCTATTATAGATAATAATTTTGTTCCATTTTTAGTTTTTCAAAAATATGTTAATATATTCTTAAATATACCTTTCAGAAATATTTCTACAACTAACATACTAAAACCTTGCTAGATTTTAAACTAAAAAAATTATTATTATTAATAAAATTGGTTATAGGAATTGTAGGTTCAAATTCTTTCCTCACACTTRTTGTAGTAAAAAGAATCTCAACTTTTCATTGAAATGACACTTTTTTTTAATTACTTATCCAATTGAGCGAGAGAAAAAAAAACCCTTGAATTGAAAAGATCGTAACTTAATCAGAACCGTCCAATTAGATCCGAACGGCTACTAAAATCATCTTCTTCTTTATTTTTCTTTAAAACCTCCAATTTCAGTGAAATTAAATGAAATTTATGAGTTTAAAATTTCTCATAAAGTGGAACGTCTTTTTATGCTCGAAGAAACACTCAACATCTGAAAATGGAGGGAAAAAGAGGAAAGGAAACCGAGTCCTGAGAGATATCTAATTCTAATACTGTAGCTTTTTGCATACCAGACGATGCAGAAATTGAATTTCTCTGTCTGGCACTTGAAAACGACGAGACCCAAGATTGGATAAACAAAAAGAGGGAATTGCGGCAATTAATTTCTCAGATCTGTCGGTTCCTTTCTTTCATCGATTCAATTCAAGTTGCAGAGAAATCGTAGGCCCATGGAATACGATCATCGCTTGTTTTGATAGAGCCTGTTCCATCAGAATCTAAACGAAGCTGCAGTGAACTAGATTTTTTTCTCGTTGTGGTCGCAAGTTGTTCGACAAAATGATCGACCGAATTAGGTTGATTTTTGTGTCGGCTGGCGAGTTCCCGACGCGAGCAGCGGATTGCGTATTTAGAGAGGGAAATCAGATGCCGGCGCCGGCAGCGATGAATGGATCTGGATATTCTCTATGGGCGGAAGGTGTTCGACGAAATTACCGAACGAAATTTGTTGATTTTGCCGTGCTCGCCGGTGAGTGGAACCAGCAGCATTGAATGGATCCTATGGAGTAGACTTGGGTGACGGTGAGATTTGGCGTACACGTCACTCTTTTCTTCCTCTCTCTCTCTCTAAATGGAAGGTAACATCTTTCTCTCTCTACCCATTCCTCAAAAAGTGAGAGTAAATTGAGAAAACAGCAAAAAATTCCACCAATCAAGGGGGAGTTAAAAATGATGCATTCTTGGTGAAAAGTTCGAAATGTTTGTTGCTTAGTGTGAACAAAGTTAAGCTGCCAACTTGCGCGTAGGACC